ACGCCACCTAGTGTCAGTTAATTGTACCATGCGTATAATCTTCGCACAAGTGCAACCAATAAGTTGACTAAATTTGACCGCAATCTGATGAACGGTATGGCATCGTAGAAAGTACGAACAAACATAAATTTTTAAATAGTAGAAAATATTTTACTGTCTATAGACAAACCTGTAGTGGATTATAATAGGCGTTATTATAGCAGCTGATTTGTTTTTTATAATACCAGAACTAAATGAACGGTTGACAATAAATTATTTTAGAAATTATGTTTTTATTTTTATTTTGTGTAGTTAGTTTAATCTTAATAATTTATAGTTGAATGGTCTAAGGGCTACAATGGCTATCCGAGTACAGAACCAGAGTACAAAACTAGTCCAACTGTAGAGATGTGTAAGACAGGGTGTCGTAATATCCCCGAAATACTTTACCGCTGCATTGGAAGACGTTTTCAAGATACTGGACTGAAAAGGAAACGATATCAACGTCAATGGCGTGTACGTCACTCACCTTCGTTTTGCCGACAGTATAGCCCTTAATGCAGAATCGCTGGAGGACCTACGCACTATGTTCAATGACCTCAATCGTGTCTCCCAACGGATAGATCTTAAGATGAACATGGACAAAACAAAAGTCACGTGTAATGTCCATGTCACACATATGCCGGTGGTTTTTGGGAGCATTTAGCTGAGGTTGTTGACGAGTATTTTTACTTGGGACAAATAGTCCGACTAGGTAAGTTCAAATTCGACCGACAGGTCAATCGACGGATTCAACTCGGCTGGGCAGCGTTCGGGAGATTAGATTAGAGAACACATCTTCTCGTCAGGAATACCTCAAAACTAGATTATACAACCAGTGCGTGTTGCCAGTGATGACCTCGATGACGTATGAGGAAGCTCGAAGTCGCTCAGCGAGCTATGAAGGGGGCTATGCTCAGGGGTTTAAACTTAGGAATGAAGATATCTGCGGCAGAACCAGAGTGACGGACACCGCCCAATGGATTAGTAAGCTGAAGTGGCAATTGACCGGCCATATAGCTCGAAGAACCGAATACCGATAGGGAAAAAAGGTTCTCGAGTGGCAGCCTCGTACCGGCAGGTGAAATGTAGGATGTTCCCCCACTAGATAGAGTCAAAAACTTGTAAGACATGCAAGAAGTTGGATGCAGATAGCTCAGGACCATGCTTTGTGGCATTCCTTGGGGGAGGCCTAGGTTCAGCAGTGGACTTGTGAAGGGTTTTAATGATGATGAATGATAATGGCATTATATTAATATGATACATAAATAGAATGGACGTTACGGGTAGAGTCCATCTATCCATAGAGTCCATTCTATTTATTTAGGTATAGGTAGGGTATAGAATTTTTATCGATATAATTTGGTACACTGTCTTATCCCTATTATTAGTTCCGTGGACGTGCACTTCTGCTGTCAACGCCAAAATGGCGGAAATCAAATCGCTTCAGCATGTCACGTGTATAGCCAGTCCAGAGTACTTGTATATATAGAGGTCAGTGGCTACAAGGTATGAACGGCATTTTTATTCTTTGTCGGTCTAAATATATCTATAATATTATTTAATATTGTATGTACTATGTTATATTTTATGCCACACTTGCATAAAATATTAAATAAAAGTTTATTTTGTAGCAAATTAATGTTACAATGCTAATTCTTTAAGCGTTTTTTACGCAAACACTATACGTCGGGAATCAAAAAATAAGTTAATTAAACGCGATAAAATTAGATTTATTTAAAATATCTAAAAATAATGTTTCTAACATTTTGAAAGCCTACATTTTGGTGTACTAAATCAAAATAATATTTTTTGCAGTAAAATTGCTTTGTGATAAATAGCGCCATCTACATCGTTCTATAGTTCTAGATATTTTATCGAACCAAAATCGATGGACTCTCAAGGTAAAACGCTAGATGCCATAAAGATAAAAAAAATTATACAAAACCTCTAATTCATGCACATAAGAATCAAATGTGCTAAGAAAGAAAGAAATATACTGTTGTATCTAATAGAACTCGAGGAGGCAATGGAAGTATGTATTAGAAAGGGTCAAGAAGAAGAGTTACAAGAAGAAATACAAGAACTTAAGAAGGCGGGATCTTTAGGTAAAAATGGAAGAAAGTACAAATCGTTAAACTTATTTTAGACTGAAATGTGTAATTAGGGCCAGAGGTAGATTAGAAATGTCTCATTTGAGTTACGATTGCAAACATCCAGTACTTGTACCTAAAGATTATTTTCTCACGAAGCTTCTTATTAGCGAGGCACATTATAAAACGATGCACGGGGGCCTCAGGCTATGATCGCTTACTTTAGATCTCGGTATTAGGTTGTAGGGATTAAGCCTTTAGTACAAGCCCATTTTAGGAAATGCGTTACTTGTATAAAATGTACAAATAAAGCCAGAAACCAACTAATGGGATAGCTACCATCTTCTCATGTTACGCTGAATAAAGTTTTCTTGTACAGTATCGTCAACTACGCTGGCTCGATAAACGTCTAAGTGTCTAAAGGACGTGGTAATAAGTTCTTACAAGGGGTACATCGCTTTTTATATGTCTGTCTACGCGGAAGATTTACATCGAAACAGTTAGTGATATGACGACCAAAGGTTTTTTAGCCGCCTTTAAGATATTCGTGGCGAGGCGTGGATACAGCGCAGAAATACACAGTGATATCGGCACAAATTTTGTTGGCGCTGCACTAGAGTTGCAGGGATTATTTAATGAAGAAAAACCTAAATTCATTCCCGAATTGGTTGAGTGCTTGGAAAATAATGAATGGTACAAAGTGGAAATTTATTCCTCCACACGCTGCAAACTTCGGCAATCTATGGGAGGAAGGTATAAAGTCCACCAAATAACATCTCGGAAAGATTATATGGAACTCTACAACGTTCTAGGAACTAACGACGGTGTTGGTACAAACTGAGGCGTGCCTTAACTCGAGACCGCTTTCCTGTGTTGATCAAAATGAGTTAATGTTGTTAAGTCTGAGTCTTTTTCTGGTTGGAGAACCCCTCGTCCTTGTGTTGTGAATCAGGTATTCAAATTTCGAAAAGGCTTTGAAGTTGCATGGTAACAGTATTAGAATAAGAACAAAAAACAAATAAATTACAAATAATTACAACGTCAGAGTGAAAGACCGTATATTATAGTTTCAAAATAATGTTTATGTTCTCCAAAAGTGCAACAGTGATTTAAAAATATGTAATATTGATGCAGTTAAAGTTACAGCCTATATACGTCGCACTTCTGGACCAGGCCTTCTTTTACTGCTTTTGGTGCAGTGAAACTACATATTTCTTACTATAAGAATATTTACTACAATAGTGTTAAGTACTTTTCGTGTATCTATTTATTGAATACGCTTATAAGCAACATCAAATACGACCACGAAGTTTTGAGAATCTGGAAAGGAAAACGATGATTTAAAAATGTATTCGTATTATTATTAGAGTGTTTGACTACAATCTCAAAGCCACGTAAATGGTGATATAACCGTAGACAAATCGCACTATCTTAACGCTATTAAAACCTATTCAGTCTTGACTTGAAATACCTTCTTAAATGAAAAAAGAATAACGAATTTTCATACCAAATTTACGCCAATTTAATTTTCAGTATAGGCCATTACAAGAATTTACCAATTTTTATGTATTTTTTATAGAATAAGTGTGATAAACGAGCACACAATCCACTTGATGGTAAGTGAATGCTGTGGCCCATAGACATCTACATCTATCATCGATTAAGAATTAAAATGCAGATGCGTTGTCACCCCTGAGGACTAAGATGGTATTCCTCATTTCCAGTAAAAAAAGGTCCCCAAATCTCTATACTCACCACACGAAACACAGCAGCATTAAGGGTCTATTTTACGCTGGCATTCTGTAAGAGCGTGGTCTTTCCCCGGTAGACCCGACCCATTCTACAAACATAACATAGCTTGACGCAAATTACTACCACACTTTTCACAAGATGTTTAGAGTATATTCTGTGACCTATCTAAAGCCTTCGATTATGTTCAACATGAAACATTAATCAGGAAAGGGAAGTAATGCTTTGAAATTAATTATTTCACATTTAAGTAACAGAACGCAAAAAGTTTTTATTAATAGTAAGAGTTCTTTTGGGTCCATAGTACAAAGGGGCGTGGAGCTAGGGTCTCTGGCATCAATTCTCGGCCCCTTTTTTTCTTGTATATATTAATGACTTACCTTACATAGTAGGAGATAACCATGATATAGTGTTAATGTGTGATACTAATCTAATTTTAAATGGGGAGGAGCTGAGTCTTGTTAATACTACAATACTGCTTGGAATCACACTAGACGCAAAGTTTCAATGGGGCCCCCATATTATATCAAAACTAGCAAGCAGGTTTAGTTCTGTATCATATGTTATAAAAAATTACAAGTCTTACCAGTGTTGAAACAGCTAGACTAGTTTATGTTAGCTATTTCCATAACATAATGTCTTAAGTTATTTTGCTATGGGTACACGCGACACGAAATTATATTTGTTTTACAGAAGAGGGCCATTAGAGGCCACCTTTAAATAATTTATTGTTCTTTTCTCTTTTTTTGGTTTGATTAAGTATATTACATTTATTCATTACCATCAAGTGGCATTTTAAGAGAGAACACTACCCAATATAATTCCATGGGTGTCGCAAGAGGCAAGAAAGGGAATCTGAAACAGGAGATGAGCAGTCGCGTCTTCTTAATAACAGCTACACAACAATAATAAATAAAAAAACTACGTTTGCCAATCCACCTACCAAGCGTGGTAAGAAAAGATCCCCTATGAGTCTTCTATAATGTTCTGCAGTTGACTTTTAAAGGTTGTAATGGGAAACGAAATATAACGATTAAAATAAATCCTCCTGCAACTGTAAAGTCCCCTGTCTATTCTATTAGATCCATCCTATCGTGACACCAGCCTATGTTTTGTTAACTATTTGTGAGATTATGATAATTAAATTAGTTTCAAACAAATTACCGTGGCATAGCTTGATAAACAAACTATCGAAAATCCGTACGTTGTTACACATACCCCCTTTTGAGCGCTGAAACATAAAAACTCTGTCAAATAGCATTTATTTTATTGGCTTTTAAATAAAATTTAAGTGACGAAACGAACAAACAATCCACCTATGGGCTTATTCATTGCCTTTGTTGATATCAAATAATGTCACTTTTCTATAACTACCACGGCTCATATAGCTGTGGCCGTGAAAGGAAAAGGGGAGATCTCCCGCCGGGCAAGGTATTCTGCCCGGGGAGCGGCCAACGCTCCGTGTGATATTTCGGAGATGTTATTTATATACTGTTTATGATTCGGAACTTTTGATAGCGCGATTTAGGCTTCGGTGTCGCGACAACGGCGGCGCTGTCGTTGCTTGGCGCTGGGCTTGGCTTGGGCGTCGCGACAAAGCATATGACGCAATGTACTACAAGGTGGCTGTTACAGACAGCGAGAGGAGCCGCCGCCCGTCATCCCCGCGTGCCCCACACGCGGCATCAACACGCAACGCATGTGATCAATCACCGCGCTTCAAGAATACGTGGGAGACCGTTGATTTCGCAAGGCTGCTGCGAGAAGAAAATACGAGCACACGTCCCCCCATTTTTGCTTATGCTAATCCTAGATTATTAAACGAACTTCAAATAGTTCAAAGCCTCTTCAGTCCTTGGGCTACGAACGCACCCTACTACGTCCGTAACGCAGACCTCCACAGAGACTTAGAGCTCCCGACAATCCAGCAATTCTTTCAATTCTTCGAAGCCTCAGAGTCCCACCTAAATCACCTCATTCGCGAGGCAACTGCCTATGAAGCCCCACTTCCCACTCGCTATAGTGTTCGCAAGCCGAGAAACTCAAACTCGGACCCATCCAACAAGCTTTCGGCCGACCTGAATATGCTGGTGGCTCTATCATCTTGTAATCTGCCTTAGTTAGCTTAGCATACTTCTCAGTGGTTACTCGCCGCTGGCGCCCCCATTTCTCCGAATGGGGATCGCGTTCGATACGACTGAATGATCTTAACAGGTTATAGCCATTTCCACAGGTGGTGTTTAGTGGAAGAGGCACGCTGGTGAGTCCCACATAACCACGCAGCCGGCTGCGTGTTATGCATGAACATTCACCACCTCCATATTTGCTTCTGGGCGCAAAAAAAAAAACCGGTGAAAAGTATTTTGCGGTTGACAAGAAGACCCATCTAGTGCTCCTTGAAGTGTAAATAGAATAGTCATTTGAGTCATTGTGCAAATTGTAAGTAGAGCAATAAATTATTTAAGTTTGATTTAAATTATTTTAATAAAACGGTGGGACCGTTATATTAAAGGTTGTCGGTTAAATACAGTTCACAGTTAGTTATTTAGTCGTTCAGTTGGGTTAACTCAGTCAGTTCAGTTTTTTCGCTTGCTTAATAAATGCAGTCCACTTGACCACCGTCCGTTTCAGTGACTTTAATTTTGATGTTAATAAAACGGTGACTACTGCAGTCAGTGACACATGCAACCAACTATAAGAGAATGCCACTGATACGTTGCCACCTGTAAGGACTAAATATGGAAGCCTCATAGCCTGTAATTACACTGGCTCTCCACACCGTTGAGACTGTAACAAAACAGTGCGGCAGAAGAAATAAGTAAGATGGTGGTATGTAATCCAGACGGACTCCTAAACTTGCGAAGTAATAAAAATATTAATTACTTCGCAACCTTTCGCTAACTAAATACCATGATGTGTCTTACCTGTATTGAAGAGCACCGCCCGCCCTCCCTCAATTGCATGCACTAACTCCACCACTAGTCCCAGCACCACTACTCCCAACACCACTACTCCCAACACCACTACTCCCGGCACAACTACTTCCAGCACCACTATTCCAGGTAAGACACACCATCGACGATAATTTAATTAATATTTTTATTATAATGGATTTCTGCAAAGTAACGCCTGATTCTATCAATTATCATAAAATGATATGTTTGATATTATTTATTATTACCACTTTGTTATATTACGATAGCAATTTTTATAGGTTTTTAAAAAATAGAATTTTCAAATGCTTCAAATATAAAAAATAATAATAAAGCAATTATATCAGATGCATGCAGAGTGCTATAGCTATACTACGTTTAAGATGTATAATCATAGTAAAATATTAAGTGTATGCAAGGATTACCGGTAGAGTAAAATTATTAAAGACGTTTTTATTTTTTTCGGCGTAGTGTACCATCCACTACAGTACACTGCTTCGGCAATACTTTCACTCTGAAAAAAAATATATTTAAGATACCAATATATTAAATTATCTACAGTTCATTAACGTTAATCTGATTACATAATAAAAACTATAAATACATAAAACCACCGCAACAGCTTAGGAAGTGAGCTCATGCAGTAAAAAAGCACATAAATAATTCATATATTTATTATAGCCTCGTGATCGTTAATGCTATTGCTGATCATGAGGTCCCGAGCTCAAATCCCGAGTCGGGATTCCAAAAACAAAATCAGTTACCGGGTTTTTCCGTCAAGAAATTATCAGTAGTAACCAGGAGGTAGGAAGTTGATAGTGGTGCGGTGGTCCTGCGACTGATCTCTCTCCGGTCGTGTCGATTTACTGTCCCATCAGACTATAAGAGTGAGGGAATAGTTAGTGCACCTATGCTTGCGCACTTGGGCGCTGTAATCCTGTCCTGCGCAGAAGGGTAGGCTGCAGTGAGACTCGGTCATTGAAATTCGGTCCGGAGGACATTACAGCCTTTCATAGTATGCTGATGAACACAGGCATCTACAAAGGTTACTCATAAGGGGGATATATGCAACAGTTGATACGCTACGCAGGTGGGTTGGAAATTGCAGTTTTTTATTTTATAATTTCTATAATTTGTAATAATTCAATATCCAAATTACACAAGGGCGGGAGCGATGACGCGAGATATAAGCGATGCGGTTGGTTGCGTGTCTTCTCAACTTGTGTGAGCCCCGTTAACACGAATGCACATGCTGGGCATAAAAAGGCGGTAGATAATCTTATTGGATAATAATTAACGAATCTCTCATAAGCGTTAGGCGATAGTGCAAAGTGGCGAGAACATAATTGTTAATTTGAAGATGTATTTGTAAGGTAAAGTGGCAATGAGCCGGCCACATAGCTCGAAGAACCGACAACCAACGGGAAAGAAAGGTTTTCGAGTGGCAACCTCGTACCGGTAGGCAAAGTTTAGGGCCAACCCCACTAGATGAAGTGAGGGCCTGGTAAGGGGTATGGAGATAATTAGAAAGAAGCTGTCTCTCCTGGTTTGTTTCCCTGTGTCGCCTCTTACGACTCTCATGGGACGAAATTCAATGATATATGATATGAATGGAATGGTCCATTACACAATACGGTTGTTATAAAAAATCTTAGATGTTTTTAGTATTAAAAAATAACGCTTTTTATTTAACTATCAATATGAATTAAAAAGTAGACTTACAGCATCAATAAGTCGCTGTCCGTACAAACAGTGCAACGAGATCTGAAGCAGTGCAGTTGTCAAAAAACACTTGTAATTAATTTCGTTCCATTTCTCCACGTACTATGTTTGGGAAAAATTAAAATGAACTTAAACGTATAATTTAAAACTTCATAATTTACTAGGTGTTATTATTATTTTTTAAAGGAGGAAAGAAAGAAAGAACTATTTATTTGATAATCACATTTTAAACACAATTTAAGAAATATAAAGGGCAAAAATATGCATGCACAAGTGTAAAACTGCTTACGAATTAAAAATTATTAATAAGCAGTACATACACGACGTTAATTAATACAAAAGAAAAAAAAAAAACAAATAACATATTAAACAAAAAAGTTAAAAATAAAATGTTACATAAAATAGGTCTCCAACTCAGAATACTGCTTCAAAGGCAGCGCAAGTTTTCATTTGATTGTTTGCATATGAGTCTGACTGTGTAGGTACCATATATTTCTGATGCCAAATAACATCATAGCTTGAGTGGCTGCTGTCTTAGGGTACAGAGATTCAGTATAATTACAGATGATTGTATGAAGTGATCTGCAGCTGTCTATGGTCTGCGGTATCCACTTACAATGAGATGAATTTTAAGATCGTTTGTCACATCAGATTCATAAAAAAAGAAAAACAAAAAAATACTTACGTAGCACGAACTTTCAGCCATTTGACAAAATTTAACGAAATTATGAAACGAAGTATATTAAGTAAACAAGTTTAAGAAAAAAACCTTAAGCCGCTGTTTAATGATCTTATACTCGTAGGTGTTGGTACTTTAATACAGTTATTCAGTTTTTTTTTAATACATAGGAATGTTTTATTAACTATTATAAGAGTATTCACTCTTGCTTTGAATACATCGTAATCGGATGGAAAATAGATGCTGGTAAATTATTTTATATGCTATACGCACTATGAACGACGAAGCAAAACATTTGATTCGAATGCGTGGTATATGGGAAGGAGTGGTGTCGAATGAAATTAAGTCATTTAATTGCAGCGCACATTCTATGAAGTTTATCTTATAAAATACCGAAAGGCGTTTACGCCTGCGCTCGAGATCAGTAAGATTGATACTGACCATATTGTTGTTACCAATAAAACTCTTAGCATAACTTCCATCGAGCTCTACGACATTTTATATCAGTTTCAGTGCATATATGGCAGCAATACTTCAAGTAAGTATGAAAGGGAAGCAAACCAGCACACGCTCCACCTGATGGTATGGATGGTATGCTATGGTCCATATAAACCTACACCAATCTGTGATTAAAAATTTAAATACAGATGAGTTGTCACCTCTTAGGTTTACGATACATTGTTTTATAAAAGTAAAGTAAAAGTAAGCTTTTAGTAAAGGATCTCAAGCTCTCGTTACTCAGGAAACAAAAACATTAAAATAATGATGCTATTACCCGTTGTATTCTGTGTGAGGAAGGATCATTTTTCCTCAGATAAACCGACCCACTCAAGCTTTTTCTATATTTATATCCTCAAGCTTTTTCCTAATATGAAATTATTTAGCAGCGCAGCACGGTAGTGTACCGCATTTAAAATAACATATTATCTTATATTTTAGGAAATAGTAGAAAAACAAACAGTTACTCACCACACAGCAAAATACGCAGAAACAGATAAGAATGGAGATTACAAGAAAATTTATAAAAAGTGGGAATGTAAACTGGTTTTCGACATCGTTGGCTAACCTTAAACATGAATAATATTATATTATTAAATTATAAATGTTTTCATTAGTAAAAGTCAACGTGTATTGGAGGCGTAAAAAATTCACAGCTTCATATTGCTACAAGCATGGGGTTCGTGACAATAAAAACTGCTGATTCAATTACGAAAATTTACAAGTTTATTGCCGAGCAACAATTACAACTTAAAACACGCAAAAAATAAAACAAAATTCGCAGTTATGTTGCTTCGAAGTATTCGCTTGAATTGCCAATTCAATACTGACTCGTTGCGGTCGTAATCGACTTTATATAGGACCTTTTCTACTGAAACATCTAGAATGTTCGAGTACGTACCTGTCACGACTGACAAGGTATGGAATTTTATAAAAAGCTCACCTAGTTCTGCTACTCGATACTAGATGGCGCTAGGAATTAGAGCTTTATTTTTCTAGTGGGATGATAACTCGCCATGTACCATTAATTATAGCACGCAACAATATTATCCGCGGCGTGTCGTAAGAGACGATAGAGGAAAATGAAATGAGAGACAACCTGCAGCATCTTACTATAATAAATCGAAATATCAAAAGAACTGCAATTTTTAAACCACCTATCAAGTGTGGGTAATTGAGAGGCCTATGTTTAGCAGTAGACTTATGATAGGCTGTAATAATCGAATGAACTTTATTAACTTATACAATTATTTATACATTTAACATTATACTTTTCATATATATTCCTGCGCGTCAAACGCTACTGACATTTGTAATAAAGGCATGGACTCCTTCAACTCACTTCAAATAAGCAAAGACTAGAAGTTCAAGTGAAATTGAAGAAACCCAGTTACGGGCACGCAACGGGTTGGAACGTTTGGCTTGTATGACTAGCATTTTTTTGCTTTGCTGATTGCTATAAATTTTCGCAGGGTCAAAGGACCAGTTAAGGTAGACAAGTCTTATGACTAATAGATAGCGAAAATTCATGCAAAATGCTAAAACCAAATTCACAGATTGATGAAATTGAATAGCAATATCAAGTGGAGGTTGAACAACACAATTTATGAACATATGGGGTGCGCTCTTAGCTTTGTGCCTCACAATCCACCTAACACTATCCATTACTCTTTTTCTCTAATAAGATCATTGCGACCTGTAAGATCTATTGTGATCTCTGCTATGTCTATTGTTCACTGTTAAGCCTTATATCTTCTATGAATTGAGGGAGTTGCTTAGCTGTGAGCAATTTCACTCCTTCTGAGCTAAATAGTTTTTTTACGTTAAAGAACAGGCACATCCAAGAGTTGCTTAGTCCAAAAATGGCTCCATTACCTTCACCTAAGATGATGACAGCCTGTAAATATAATAATAGTTTATTAATATTTGGCTCTACCCTACCTTATTAGGGCACGTTGCCTCGATATAACTTCAACTAGCCTCTTTTGATAAAATTTTTCCAATTGATTTTCACTAACATAATCCATATTTTCTGTACGTAATTCGTTGCTGCATTTACCTTAAAAGTAAATAATTTAGTGTTTATGGTTTAAGATATTTATTTCTCAATAGAATTAAAATTCACTTACATGAGAAATGTACAATACTAATATAATTTTATATTAAACGGCACGAGAAACAAACAAACTGATAACAAAATAAAAATACATTATGTTTTTATAGTCTAAACAAATAATGTTAAAAAGTTATGAGTACATATTAAAATAATAAAAGAAGGCTATCAAATATTAAGATAAACATTCATGACGGTTATTTTATTTGGTTCGATCGCGGAGTACAAAATTATTCATATACCGACTTTTAGCTTCATTTAATCGAATTTACCTTAAACAATAGAGACTGGAAGTGATATTATGTATTTTTGATTGCGCGCAATTATTACTTGGTTGAATAATTAAATGACCTAATGAAATTTAATAACTATATCTGTATTTTTATGTATACTTGTTAAGAGGTCCTTTGTTAATGTTCTGTTTCATTTGCTTTTTTTATTAGTATTAGTACATACACACATATACAACATGTAACAAAAACCCTGTGGTTCCCGTTAAGTGTGTTATCAGAATCAGTATCCAAGCATATAGAAATAACTATTATATAGAAATAAAAAACACATTTAAAAAAATATGATGAAAAAAAATTTATTTGCAAATTATATGAGGTTTTATTATCTCTGCATTGGCCGAGGAGTAAGAGGATTGTCAAAGACTTTACCGATACTCGTGTGAGTTAGAGATAATAAAACCACATACAATTTGCAAATTAATTTTCTTTCATCAAAATAATTTTTTTAAACGTGTTTTTTGAAAAATAATTATTATAAGCTTAGATGCTGATTCTGATAACACACTTAACGGGAATCACAGGGTTTTTGTTACATGTTGTATATTTAATTATATTTTTAATAAATATATATACACACATACATACATACATATAGACACATATTTATATTACTATAAAAGTAAGGCTTATTAATCATAATTTTATTAGATCGAAGCTGATATTATGCTAATTTATTAACAATTTAGCATTTTAATTTACCTACTAATATTATAATCATCCAATCAAATTAAGCACAATTTCACGAAGAAGTAAACCACATTGATTATGTGTTTCGAAAATAATTCCTTATCTCTTTTAATTAATAATTTAGTGTTTAGTGTTTAAAATTAAACTTATACCCTACAGTATAGTTTACTTAGTTTTATCTCAAGAGGTGTTATTTTCGTATGTGATGCGTACGACTTCCAAAGTAATACAATTAAAACAAAATCTATAACACCTTAATATTATTAGGCTTTACGAATTCTAACCCTGATCCTTATTACCAAAATATCTAAAACTATCAGACAAAAGCAAAAACTGTTATTTGTTTGAGTTTACGAGTACACCATATTAATTGAATTATCTAAAATCCATCTTTACGGGATTTTTTTAAGAAATTTATGAGGATAAAGCTAGATGTTTCATAATGAAAATTGTTGAATCTAAATTTTGCTTTATTAAGCGTATTATTTCACTTTTGGGTATGGTGCACGCATATAAAAGATTTGTTCACAATCATCACGCATTTATTTCAAAACTACTCTCCTCATAATTCTGCTTTTTAGTAACTTTTAACACGAATTTGTCAGCTACTATGTTTGTATGTTTGTGTATTTTTATTAATATATGTATGTATTGTACATACTTGTGAATAAATAAATGAATGAATGTAATGGATTTCATTTTTAATTTATTTTTCACTTACTTTCGGACGTACGTACAATCAAAAGTTTTACGGGTGTAATTAGAATAAGGTAACAATCAGCAATGCAACAACTTCATGAATATGGAGTGTAGTTTCAGTTTTTTTTTTCATTTCTAATTTTATCTATAAACGGTATTGATTTATTTGTGTGTTGTACTATTGTGTATAAGAGCCGTAGTACTTCAGGGGCTTAGGTGTAAATTTTACAGCAAGCAATCTTTGTTCGATCCCAGGTGGTAGTTGCTAACTAAATTATTTATTGTAATTTAAGTGCTCATTTACCACATGCTCGGCAGTGAAGAAAAACATCATAAAGAAACACAGTAAGATTGTAAAGTCCGCACACTTTGGGGCAGCGCGGCGGACATTTTCTTGCCTTAAAAGCCTCACGGAATTGAGAAGACCTAAACCCAGCATCGGGACGTATGCCCAGCGTAAGCCAAGGACGTATTGGGGCGTATGACCTATGCCCAGTATGGGTTGCAACAATACTTTCTCTATTTCAATTTACTAAGTTGCAAGACTCATTCTTACTTATTTCGAGGAGTTCGTCTGAAAAGGTACCACCCTCTTGTATTTTTGCCAGTGCTCGCACTGCTGTGTTCTGAAGAGTACAGAGAGCCGCTATAATTACAGGCTATGAGGCACTCAATCTTAGTCCTCAGAGGTGACAACGCATCTGTGGCATTATTTACTTGATGTTGGTTACAAATGTCAACGGACTGCACTAGCCACATACCATCAGTTGGATTCTTTTTGTAAGTTTGTTGTTTCGGTTTTTTTAAATCCAAGGTTAATAAACCGTACTACTAGTAACTGAAACTGAGGACTCTAATCCGGTAATATTGTCGCTGATAAACAAGAAAAAGTCGATAAAAATTGTGAAAACCATGAAAATTTGTTGATACGTCGCACATTGTCTTACCGAGAGGATATTCTTGTATTAATTGATCGTCAATTGTTACGTGAAACATTTTTTTTATTCTAATCGCAAGGAGATGAAACTGTGAAGTAACATGACTTAAAAAGGTATAAAAGAACAAATCCGCTCCCAACAGGACAGCTATAATGATAAAAGCTGAAAAAATAATCAATTAATTTACTGGCAGAACTCTTATTCAGCTGCTGAGCCCATGAAATTTTGAAGAAACTTTGAAAATGTCCGGAGAGGATATAGGGGTATTAACCGTATTTATGGCCCTGATAGAAAGCCATGCCATGCCTTTTTTTTAACTAGAAACGAGGCATTCCATCTTAGTCCTCATAAGTGACAATACGAATGCATTTAAATTCTTAATCGAGGATAAATATAGATGTTTATGGGCCACAACATTCACTTACCATCAGGTAGACTATGTGTTCGTTTGTCACACATATTCTATAAAAGCATTACGTGGTAGAGCTATGCTGCAGCTATATTGTTGTTGCAGCACGAATGCGTCGGCTCGACCGAGGTAGGATCAAGCTCTCACAAAATATCAGCGTAAAATAGCAGCTTAATGGTGCTGTGTTTCGTATAGTGAGTTTAGAGAACCGGAGACCCTTTTTACTGGAAACGAGGCATTCCATCTTAGTCTTCACGGGTGACGACGCGTCTGCATTTTGATTCGTAATCGAGGATAGACGTAGATGTCTATGGGCAACTGCAGCCACTTACCATCAGGTGGACTGTGTGCTCGTTTTTCACCCTTACACTACAAAAAAAGTTATTGCCTGGCAGTGCGTCTGGGTAATTACTACTTTCGCCAAATAGCAGTGCTTAAACTGCTATGTTCCAGTCTGTAGACTATAGAAAACTAGCATAATTTCAGTCTGTGAAGCGTTCTATACCAGTTCTCAAGGGTAGCAAGGCATCAGTAATCTTCTTTGGTATGATGCAGGTGTCCATAGACGGAATTAGCCCTTTTAGCTACAGACTCCTTTGCCACGTCGGATTTATAATAAAAACGCTATTCAATTACAATTGTCGTGTAGTGGGCGTACCTTATGTCATACCTTGGTTGTCGTAGAAGACAGAGGGAATTGAGACATGAGATGAGTAGCAGTATTCTTCTCATAACCAATTAATAATAATAAAACTGTAGTTGCTATAGCTACAGCTATATTATGGTTGTAGCATGAATGGATCTGCTCGAAAGATAGAACACCAGCGTAAACAGCAGCTTATTACTGCTGTGCTTGGTATGGTGAGCGTGAAGAACTAGAGTACATATCTACTAGAAACGAGGCATTTCATCTTAGTTCTTAAGGGTGACAACGCATCTGTATTGTTACTCTAATATATGATTGTTGATTGAGGATAAATGTAGATTTCTATGGGCTACAGCATCCGCTTAACATCAGATGAACTGTGTGTTCATTTGTCACCATTATTTTATAAAAAATAGGAGAAACTAAAAAGACATAAGAAAGTTATGGATAGCGGATACAAATATTTAAACTATACCATACTTATAATGTTTTCCGGACCAAATTAGAGTCATGGCACACAATAAAGAAAAAGTATCCATCTGCGCATGACAGAAATATAGTGCATGAGTGTATGCGCAAGCACAGGTGCTCTCTCTAGTACTTCACCACCTAACTCCGATGGAACGGCAATCCAACGCGACCAGAGAGAAAT